TAACTAATATCATTATTGCCTTTTAACAGTCTGCAACTACTGATAAAGTGTTACATTGTGCACCATTGAAGAGTTCAGTGCCTACCAATATCGATCTTGGTTACAAACCCAATGGACTAAGGTGGAAGGGTGGAGCTGCAGTTACTCAAAGGCAGCTACAAGAACAAAGTTACAAGCGAGCCACTCAGTCCACACCAAGCAGTCAAGATATATAAATTTCATAGTAAAGACTCATGTTTTGCCTAGCTAAATTCTCAATGACATTGTCTATGATACTTTTCACTATTAACTTAATTTTCAACTGTTGTGTTAGCTTGCTATGACAAACAAGTTATTTTTGCTTATGAATTTGCTATGATAATTATAAGTCTTAATCTGGATATTTTCATACATTATCATAGTACTCAAATGAACAAATCATCAATACATCTTAAATACAAAAGATAGAAACCAAATGACAACAATCACAACAACACTGATATCAATACTAATGCTCGATCTCCCCTGTCTTCCATGCCTTCTATGCTTTCCATGCCTTCCCTGCCTTCCATGCCTATGCCTTCCATGATCAACATTTGTTGATTGATTCTTCATGTAGTGTTGTTCTTGGTAGGTAGGATCAGCCATATCAGCCCATCGAAAAAATCCACATCCATTACCATTTGTGTATTTTTGACAGCCCCAAAACATTCTTCCTGGATTTGTTGATGTTCTTGACATCTTAAGTTCAGCATGAAGCCCACAATAGCAAAAACAAACAGTCATTGTGAAGAACAAAAAAATTAACGAGTAAGAAAAAGGCGAGAAAAATAAAATATAGACAAAAAAGGCCTGATCAATTATGGAGAAGAAGAAGAAATTTGGAGTGAAGAATTTTGGAGAGAGATAAACGAGTGAGAAAGAGAAGACATTTTGGATATTTGAAGAAGAAATTAGGGGAATTTGGGGAAGATGGCCAAAAATGACCGTTATTGGCTTTTTAAAAGCATCTCACGCTCCTAAAGTGGGTGTAATTCACGCACTTGAACTACTTTTGCCACATGGGATGACAGGTCAAAAAAAGGGTTTAAAATGTTGGATTTCAGTGGGTTCGAGGGTTTAGTTGGCAAAGTCTATATTATAAGGGCTCAGGTGACAAAATGAGACAAGTACGAGGGTCTCCCGGACCATTCTGCCGTAATTCTATTCCTATATGTGCAAGCTTGATGAACAGAATTACTTGATACTTGTTATTGTTGGGAGGTGACAATTAACTCGTAAAATTAATTAAGATGCGAGAAAACTGATCCGATCAGTACAAATTTTGGTGTGGGTTTTTTTTTTTTCTTTTTTCTAGTAGTGTGTGTTGAGTTCCTTTGTAGTACTAGCTGTAGAGTATTTACTTTCTATTTAATGCCCGTGCAACGCGTAAATTCTTCTTTATTGATGCAACCACTACACAAATCCCATTATAAATACAACCTCAAAATCCATATATCCCTACTACTTACATTCTCTCCTGCACAAAAAACCTTGTCCTAAGAAAAAAAAAAAACTCTACCAAATTTTCTTTTGCATTTTTTTCATATTGAAAAAAAAAATGGAAGATGCAATGAGAAGACTTAATCAAGAATCTGATCTTCCTCTCCAAAACACTACAAACTCTACCACTGTTAATAAAACTAGATCTTCTTGTTCATCAAACAAAAGATCACTGAAAGACACTACTACTGGTCCCTCCGCGGTAAGATACCGCGGAGTTCGTCGTCGTCCATGGGGACGTTACGCAGCTGAAATTCGTGACCCTCAGTCTAAAGAAAGGAGGTGGCTTGGTACTTTTGATACCGCTGAAGAAGCTGCTTGCGCTTACGATTGCGCTGCTAGAGCAATGCGTGGTGTTAAAGCACGTACTAATTTCGTTTACCCTCCTTGTCCTACTCCTACCCAACCCACTTCTACGAACGATGCTTTGTTTAATATTCATTCGTCGTATAACTCTTTGAAATCAACATCGCCTTATTATCATCAGAGTTCTAATACTCTTAATAGACCCTTTTTTCATTCCTCTAGTCCTTATGGTTCTACGGGGCGTGGTCATGTTATTGGTTCGACTTGTCAGAAAAACAATGATTCTTTGAATATGCTTCTGTTTCGTGAACTTCTGAGTTCAAATTCCAGTAACAATAGTACTGCAAGTAATTTGAACGTGGCTGGTAGTATGAATATGCCTAATCTGTACGAACAGCTGCCCAATTTCATGACTAATCGCAATACGAGCAGTTTCTGTTCGTATTTGCCCACTAGCAGCAACACCGTCATTCCCAGCTCTTCTGTCATGACCACTCAAGTCCCCAAATTTGATAACACTATCCATTTTACTGTCAACAACAGTAGTACTACCGCACATGATTCTGCTGCAGGGATGGATTTTTTTCCATTTGAGTCATCTGATTCTGGATTATTAGAAGAGGCCTTAAATGGTTTTTTCCCAAAGCCCAAGCCCATTAAGTCATCATTACCTAATTACTCTACTAAAGGAGAATTTTGTAATATTTTCTCTCAACAACCACAACAACTACAACAGGAGCAGATTAATGATGGTGGTTTAAACAGTGATTTTGGATTATTATCGTCGTCATCGTCATTGTCATCATTTCCAGTGGATTATTTTCCAGGAAATCTTCAGGTGTCACCAGGAGACAACATGATGGGAGACATATTTCAGTATCCAGATCTTCTCAGTATTTTTGCAGCCAAGCTGCAAAATGCTTAAACTTTGTACTACATCTTGCAGGACTTTTATCTACCTGACCTAATGTACTGATTTTCTATTATATGCTTCTTAATTAATTAATTACTAGTATTTAGAAGGATCTGGATTTGTTCTGTTTCTGGTTTAAACAAGAAATTTCAGCTGTTTAACTTGATTTGAAATGTAAGAGTTTATTCAGTTATATAGCAGTGTTATCTTCTTAACATATATCATTCCTCCAGCTTCTTCTTTTTTTCCGTACGTAAAGCGATTTTATTAGTTTGTGATTTAGTACGAATCTCTGAAATGATACCTTGTGAAAAATTAGAAATTCAACGTTTTGAATCGATTGCGATGAACATTTTTCTTTCTTTTTTTAGTTGCATCTGTTTCTGGTTTTATATTTTACAACTGTAAGATTTAACGGAATGTTTGTTTGTTACGTTGTTTGGTGTTGAAAAGTTTTTTTTTTCAAGTTCTTGGCTACATATGCTTTTAGGGAAAGTCTATTTGGTTGTGTTGACTTATTTTTCAAATATTGTACTTTATGCATGTTTTGTATTTTGGTACAATTAATTTTCTATTTTCTATTTTCTATCTTTGGAATTATGGGCTTTTGGTGTGTACTGTCAATCTTGCCTTGTTCTTGCAGAAAAGAAAAAAATAATCACCTTTTTTAAAAAAGGTAGAAAGTGAAGTACTAGTACTACTTTGGTTTACAAAATAATAAAGATTTCTGAAGTATATCCAATTTTATAATTTTTATTTCAACTTGTGAGTTAATTACTTAATTATCTTTTCAAAGTAAAATATGCATATTAATAATTTACTATGCTTTAGACTCTAACAAGTTAGTTAGAATTGAGTATATGAATTCTCTAAAATTGGAATTGAACTATGAGTTGTTGGCTACTCTCTCTCAGCCCATTTTACTTTTTATTCTTAAAAAAGATTTAGTTGAATTTGTATGAAATTTAAAAAATAAGATATATTGTTTCAATTGAGGTAAATAAATAATTAAGCATATAAGAAATAAATTAATGATAAATTGAATATATTAAGTAAATAATGGATTAATATAGTTTGAGTCAGCCTTCGAGGAAGGTTAACTTAAGTAATTGATTGATAAGCTAATCGAACAAGTAATGAAATTACCAAAGATATTAGAATATGGAAATTAATGATTCACAAGATGGTGATCCTACCGTTTTTATAGGGGTAACTTTTCAGGAATGGATTGTCCATCATTAATTTTTATTATTTGTGATGAATGATATTCAAAAGTAAAAATAACGTCAAATTTCACTCGTGGAATGATTTCATAATGATTAATGTGTGCAAATGACTTTTCCTCTTAATGTTCATAAGTATTGGTCCGATTTAATTCTATGGGGTGAATTGCTCCATCGATCTGTTCGAGTAATATTATTATTTTGCTCATTTTTAATGTATCCTTGCTCAATTCAACCACACATTTAACTTTACATATGTCTCGATTATTTTTACTCTATACAATTATGCATCTAAAGATTTGAATTAACTGTCACACACCCTATAGAATTGTCAAGTAGTATATTAAACTTAAAAGTTTGTACTTTTTTCTTTTTACTTCTCTATTTGTTGGAATTAATAATTTTTTAAAAAATTATAATTAAAAATTAGTAACCATTTCGTAAATAATTTGAAATATTAATAATCAAATTAAAATTATTTTTTAGCAAAATATTAATAAGAATAATTTAGTAGACTAAATACTTAAGGAATACTTCTTTAAAAAAATACAAAACACTCAAATAAACGAACAACTAAAAATGGACGGTCAGACCAATACTCTTTTTCTCGATGATCATATTTTTGCAACTTAAGGTGTGAATGTGATAAGTGTTTCCAAATAGTGTTAGTACTCCTACTATTTTTCATCAATAAAGAAGAAAGAATGACTATATTTAAATAATGTCATTTATTCTCCAGATTAAATACGAATAATAGCTCTGGACCATCAAATATTGATGAATTAATGTAATAATTAATAAAGTACCTTTATCTGACACGAAATATGTACACGCTCAACGTGCATCAACTGCTAATTAGTCACAAATTATCTTGACCTCAATTTCTAATTATCTAATTTAATCAAGTGACATGTGTTTACCCTATACATTTAGCTCATGTTAATTTCACCCTAGGAATAACAACCACGTTCAGGCGTAAAGAGTTCACCGTCAACGAATGTCGGGTGAGGTTGCTCCTTACTTAATCACCTTAAATATGAAAAAATTCTTAAAGCTTTCTTCTAAATGGCGCCCTACGCAACGCGAATCCAAAATAGTTGTGCTCCAATGCAATACCAAACACCGAGTGGAAAATAAAAAATAATTTTAAAAAAGAAAGTACAAGGTGATGATTCTACTCTTAGAGTGACTCAACATAATGCTCTCAGAAATTGGAACCGACCTCAAAGGATGTGATCTTGGCTTAGAAAACTCTTCATCCGCCGTTAGAGGATTCGTTTGTGACTTCCCCTTTCGGAGAGTTTTAAATCGCAGGATTCAGCCCCGGCAAATGTGATGCAGTGCAAGACGTTGCAGACTATGTGATCGGTGACATAAAAGATATGCCGACAACTAGCCAACTCCGCTCGAGGAACATGGAGACTAGTTGAAGTACTGTGCTGCAACTGAGATAATGAAAAAATATTTCACCCTTTTTAAAGAAAACTAATTCTATATTTAATTTATTAAGTTTTGGCTTTCTAGATACTTCCTCCGTTCCATTTTATATGTCACTTTTTACTTTGCACTTGCATTAAGAAATGATGTAACTTTACCCTTCTATCCTTATTTAATGTTTTCTTAAGTCAACTTTATTAATAAATAACAAGATTAATTAACTATTCTATCAAGAGTATAATAGGTAAAATATGGTAATTTATGCATAAATTTTATAAAATGACAAGTATTGTGGTTCAGCTACTTATAGAAAGGGATGACATATAAAATGAGATGAATGGAGTACAGATTCAATTTGCAAGACAAATCTAACCAAATTTTTATGTGGTCGACAAAAAAATTTAATTAATTTTATTTTTGCACGAGCCCAATGTGAGGAAAATGACATAAAGTAACGCAATTAATTAATTAGTGCGGTCCATATAAGTTTTTTTAATTTTTTTTTTTACAAATAAGACGTGTATAGAGGCATTAAATATGATCTAAAAATTGATACGAAAATTAAGCAGAGTTATCGTTCGTTCATAAATGGTCCAGTTATCAACTTATCATATCTTAAGTCTCCATTCTTATTTTTCTCTTTCTCCCACTCTTAAAATTTAATTATTTTATATTAGAATCAACGATTTTTTTTCTTTTCATTTTATTTTTTGTATAATAGTGTGGATATACTGTTTATATATCACATATACAGAAAGATACAATATATATATATATATATACTATTTCTTGTGGGTTGTGCACATTATAATTTTGTGTTCAGTTGATTTTTCGCATGACCAATATAACCCATTTTAAAAGTAATCTTCATTTTAATTGAATGCTAGCCTAATACTGAACCATTTTTAAGATTTACTTTAATTTGACTTTATCGTTGAGAATTATAAATTTTATATTTTAAGAAAATCTACCAATAAATATCTTTGAGTAACTTGGTATTGATAAAAATATCTTTAGAGCAATACATGCAATGTGAAATGATTACAAAGATCCTGAAAATATACAATTAGATACGTTTCCACATATACTTCCTTTCAACTAACTTATCAAGTATCAACTAATATAAGCTATTCATTTTATTTTCTTTTGAATTTACATGTAATTTGATTTCACATGTCATGAACTAATAATTCTATTATATATAATCGAACTCAACACAATAACTTATTCAAACATTTTATTTTACTTTTAATAACCATGCAGTGCATGACAACCTAGCTAGAATATATACTCTACGAAGCATCATTGCATGTACTAATATTTTTCGATCTAGAAATAATATAGATAAATTAGTATATGGTTTTGTGACAAAAATAAAAATAGACACACTATAAACGAAATATCAAAATTAGCTTTGAACGATATTTTCGTAGCTAATAAAAATTTATCGCTAAATAGAATTAGCAATGAACATTCTATTTATCTTGGTCCGATCCGTCGCTAATTTGTTTTTTTTTTAGTAGTGTTGTATATCATTGCAACCATTCTTCTTTCGATAGACAACCACGACAAGTGGGAGAATCTTAGTAATTTAATTGATTGATTATTTTAATTTTCATCTTAAAGGTGAGGGTTCAATTTATTTTTTTATCTTGTCATCCCTTTCTTCATTTCCCTTTTTCTTACCCCCAATTTTTATTTTTTTGTAAAGGAAAAGGCAAGTGTTAATTAGTCGATATATCGTATTTATGGATGTATCTATAAGTGACCTTAATGAACATGATCCGATGTAAATGTGGGCATGCAGTAACTCAGTTGTGACAGGTAGTAGCGGAGCCAAAAATTTCATTCAAGGTGTTCAAACTTTAAAGGGGTAAATAAAAAAAATTTCAACAGACTAGGTGCACAAATCATTTTCTTGTTCTTAAATATAATTGGGTCGGAAGAAGATTGTGTTAAAAAATGAAAGTAGTGAGAATCAAACCACAAACCCCAAGGACTTAAATGAGCATACACTTACCACTAGACTATCAATCTCTGTGTTCATCTTTTAATATATATATGTGCATATAATAGTGAATATTTTATCTATACGTACGATTTAATTTTTCAATAAGGATGTTCAGCTGACCACCCTTACTGAACTGTAGCTCCGCCACAGGTAAATAAAAGTTGGGTGGAGTGAAAGAAGCAAAAATCAAATCAATATTAAAGCAAGCTGTATATAAGTTGGAGACAATATTCATTAATTAGGATACAAAATAATGTGACCTACATGACCTCAGCATAGGCAAATAATTTTTGCAAGTACCTTAATAGCTAGTATTTAATAATATTGAATAGAAATATGGAGTATATCTCCCCAAGAACCAAACACTACAATGAATGCACACACAGTATTGCTGGGAGG